AAAAGGACCTGGGTTTAATACCCAGCACCCACATGGCAGTTCACAACTGTCTGTAACTCCAGTGCCAGGGTACCTGGAATCCTCACACATATAGGCAAAACCCCAACGTACAAAAATAAACAAATCTCAAAAAAAAAAATTGTGTTTAAAATGCTATTTAATAATCCATGACTCCCGAGAAGCTCATACTCATGCTCTGGGTGTGCTTTATTCTTTCTCTGTCTGTTTTTAATACACTCATTCTTCTGACCAGTCCTGAGATGATTTTGTGTGGAAGCCAGGGATCTGGTTTTACCTGCGTCAAGGTCCCTAACCAACTGATCAGGGGAAATTCCTCAGGCTGCAGTGGTGACGGTGCTGAACTGTGTCATCCCTGTGGTGGAGCTTGTTCCTTCTGTTCTAGGGAAGACCGCTTCCTTGCCTCTTCCGGAAGCTAGTGTTTGTGGGCTGTCCTTGAGCCGTTTCCTTGTGGTTGCATCACTCTCCATTCCTGGCCACTGTCTTCGTAGAGCTGTCTTTTATGTGCCCATGTCTCCAAAAATACATTTTAAGAAAATAAATTACTTATGTGTAGTGCTTTTGCCTGATGTATGTAGAAGCACCACATCCAAGCCTAGTTGCTTCGGAATATTTAACCATGTAAAGATGTGTTGCATATGTTTATGTAAAGATGTGTTGCATTTGTTTGTTTCAGAATATTTGTTTAACTATGTAAAGATGTGTTGCATTTGTTTCAGGATATTTGTTTAACTATATAAAGATGTGTTGCTGTTTCACTTTGCCTGCCTAAGGCACCTGACTGGTCTAATAAAAAAGCTGTATGGCCAATAGAGAGAGGAGGTATAGGTGGGGCTTCTGGGCAGAGGGAGTAAGTAGGAGTGATTTAGGCTCAGGGAAGAAAGGAAAGGAGACGACGGAGATGCCAGGGGCCAGCCAGCTAGACATGAAGGAAGCAGCAAAGTAAGACATACAGAATAAAAGAAAGGTAAAAAGCCCTGAGGCAAAACGTAGATGAATAGAAACAAGGTTAAATTAAAAGAGCTAATGAGACAAGCCTAAGCTAGGGCTGAGCATTCATAATTAACAATAAGTCTCTGTCTTTATTTGGGAGCTGGTTGGTGGCCCAAAGAAAATGCCAACTATACTTAGTGCCCAAGGAGGTCTGAAGAGGTCATTGGATGCCCTGGAACTAGAGTTAGAGATAGTGCTGAAGAACATTGTAGTGCTGGAAATCGAACCCAGGTCCTTTGCAGGAGCATCAAGTGCTCTTAACCACTCAACACCTCAGTACCCCTCCTTTTCTTTTCTTTTCTTTTTTTTTTTTTTAAACAGGTCTCACGTTGTAGTCCAGGCCGGCCTAAAACTCAAATCCATGACCTGCCTCTGCTTCACAAGTGCTGTGATTGCAGGTTTGTACCAACATGTCTGGCTGTCCTTTTTTCTTTTGGCATGTTTGTGTAGCTGCCTGTGTGTCCTGTGTGATGCACATGTGGAGGACTAGAGGATAACCTTAGGTGCCAGCCCTCCCTTGACTTTCTACCTTATTTCAGACAAGATCGCTTCATTGCTGTGCAGGCCAGGCTGGCTGCCTCCCACCTCCCCATACACACACTAGGACTACAGACACCTGCGCTACAGCTTTTATGCCTGTTAAGTGGACTTTTATATGGGATGGGGGATTGGAACCCGGGTTATTATGCTTGTACAGCAAACACTTATTCCCACAGAACCGTCTCCCATCTCCCCATTCTGACCCCTTTTCCTTAGAACACTTCCAGCCATTAGGCTTTTTGTTTGTTTGTTTTTCTGAGACAGGGTCTCTCTGTAGCTTTGGAGCCTGTCCTGGAACTCACTCTGTAGACCAAGCTGGCCTCGAACTCACAGAGATCTGCCTGCCTCTGCCTCCTGAGTCCTGGGATCAAAGGTGTGTGCCACCACGGCCTGGCCAGCCATTAGATTTAAGACCCATCTGAATTTATCCCGATTCATTTTAACTTGATTTCATTTGCAAAGACTCCGTTTCTACAAGAGTTCTTTTTTTTTTTTTCTTTCCTGTATATATGTGGCAGTGACCACTATCAACTCCAGTCATAGAGGCACGCTCTACTGGTGTTAGCAAAAATCCTGCCTCATTCAATGAAGCATACTTCCGACACTCAGAAGTTTGTTTTTGTTTTTGTTTCTGGAGCTGAAGATCGAACCCAGGGCCTTGAGCTTGCTAGGCAAGTGCTCTACCACTGAGCTAAAGCCCCAACCCCAAGAGTTCTTTAGTACTGTTGTTTTTGATGACGCTAGAGATGGACCCCAGAGCCTCACACACTCTAGTAGTAAGCTAAACTCCAGCTAGCCCTATTTCTAAATGAGGCCACATTCACATGCACTGTGCAAGTGTGTGTGTTCACATGCACTGTGCAAGTGTAGTGTGTTCACATGCACTGTGCAAGTGTGGTGTGTTCACATGCACTGTGCAAGTGTGGTATGTTCATATGCACTGTGCAAGTGTGGTGGGACTTGAATATCTCTTTGAGAATGGGAGGACACAGCCAACTCACTGCACCTGCCAGATGTAACTTTTAAAGGGTAGCTGGTTAAGGCTTATTTTTAGTAAGTCTTAGCATGGTAGTACAAGCCAGAGGAACTCCATTTCAGATGGAGCCAGCAGAACCTGAGGATATGAGGGAGGTGGCTCCCTGGAATGGGGTTCTGGGGACCTCTTTAGGGGAGCCCTCAGGAAGGACAGGTTGACAAGAAGAAAGGCTTAGAGGGAATGTGGTGGCAAAGCAATACCCGTGGGAAAGGCATCATGCAGCACGAGGGAGAGACAGTGGCCACTGGGTTAGCTGGCCTCACGTCTAGTGCTGCCCCAGATGAATCAAGGTCCATCAAGAGACTCCTAGATTCCAGGAGTTTGGGGATTGGAGTGTAGAGCTCTGTGGCAGAACTCTTACCTAGCACGCACAAGGCCCTGGGTTCCATCCCCCAGAACTGTGAAAAAGGCAGAGAACTGCTTCAGCGCTGCTGAAGATCTCCAGCCCAGGGTCAGCGGAAGGAAGGGATGCATCTGGAGTGCTTACTTACAGGTAGGGAAGAGCCTTCGGCTCACCCAGGCCTTGCATTTCCAAGTGGGTCGTGCTGGGTCCATGATCTCCCTCTGCAATAATCCCGCCTCTCTTTGAGGTAGGATTTACTTGCTGATGATACAGACAGAGATTTGCACCTCAAACCCCAAACTGGCTTCCCAATTGCCTGGAGTATTCAGTACAGAACTCGGTATCTAGAAGGCTGCTCTTCGTCCCGAGACTTGTTTGCTTCCCAGTGGTTCCCATATCAGAAGCATCACTCACTAGTCATCCAGTCCCCCAAATTAAAAACTGGGGGATCTGATGCTTACTCCTCTCTTCGGTACACATTCAATCACATCAAATCCTTTCCTGTGGCTGCCCCACCACCACCACCTTTCAATTCAAGTACATGTGCAGCCTTAGTATGGTTTCACCAGCACAATAACCCGATAACCAGAGCATGGCTTCATCTCCACTGGGAAAGAGCATCCTTCAACATTATCACAGAGCTCAAACTCCTTGGAGTGACACACCAATCTCTACTGACCTCTGCTGTGTCAGGAATCCCCCACATCCTAAAGCTTCTCGCTTCTCTCTCTCTCTCTCTCTCTCTCTCTCTCTCTCTCTCTCTCTCTCTCTGTCTCTCTATCTATCTATCTATCTATCTATCTATCTTTTGCAAAATAAATAAAATCACTTTTTCAAACTGAGAGTAAAAAAAAAAAAAAGTTACGTTGCTCAAAATGCAAACTCAAATTTAAAGATACAAAGGTATCTTTATAACCCTCTCCCTCTGGTTCCAGAGCCCTGGAGTGGTACCTGGTGACTGTGTTTGTGCCCTCTCCCGACCATTCACAGGAAACTCCATGTTCATCAACAATAAAGCGATGTTCAGAAGTCTAACGCTAAGGAGCTCAGGCTAGGAGCTCAGGTGCTACTGTATTCTCCCAAATGTATTGTGGAGAAAAAAACACAGACAGGAGGCACTTGCATCCATCTGGCCACACTTTGAATCCTAGATTCCAGTCCTAAGAAACCGGCAAACAGCAATTTCAGGAATGAAAAGGACATCTGCGTAGCACGCAAACCTAAAACAGCCATAAAAGCCCAGTTCGGTTATCCCCAACAATTCTGCTCCCAAATAATTTGGAATATGAGGACGTATTCCAAACCAAGTTCGCGCTGCTCAGCTTTCCAGGGAAGCCCTTCAAATGAAAGCACTTTGCATCCGCAATGCATTACCAAGTCGGAAATCTGAAGTTACTCCATGAAATGAAACTGCATCACCAATGTCAATTCAAGCACACGGGATCAGTCTGCCATGTTTACTAGGACATGGGAAGAACAAATGATGCAACCGGGCAACATAAACTCCCCCCTCCCCAAAATGCGCGTCAAATATTCAAGAAACTTTACAGGGCGTGTGCACATTTCACTGGGAGTCCCCTGAACTGCGGAGCTAGGCTTAAACAATAGAACGAGGAAAAGATGGGAGTCACTGAGAATGAAGCGCGGGTTTAAGTTGATTTTCAAACGTCTCACTGGGGCTGAGGCGTTTGTCCTTGGCTCCCGCACTCCTCTGTAAATTGTTCCCACGGTCACTGTCTCGAAGCAGCAGAGATGCGGGAGCAGGTACCGCGTCCCGCGGGTGTTGCGGGGGGGTCGGCACCCGACCAGGTTGTGCAAAAAAAAACACACTCTGGTGCTCTCCCGCGGATCGGTGGGGTGCGAAAGTAGGTGGCCCCATCACTCAAGGTTGCTACGAATGCAACTCGCAACTTTTGAAATCAATCTACCCCCCCCCTTTTTTTTTGCATCATGCAACGGATGCCACCGTTCCTTGGGTTTGCAACCCCCCACCCCTCCCCCGAGACCAATCATTGCCGCGCTCGGGCCTCTGCACAGCGCCCCCGCCCCCTTCCCGGGCCGCACGCAGCCACCACCACCGCCGCCACCGCCACCAGCAACACGGAGCCGCTCCGGCCACCGGCCCGCCGCCTCTTAAAGGGAGGTGGCCGCTCTTAAAGGGACCCTCGCGCGCCCGGCCGGCGGGAGCGCGGCGGCCCGGTTCCCGGAGGGCCGCGCCCAGCCTAGGCCGAGCTCCACGCGGCGTCCAGAGCGCGGGGCCGTGCCGCCGCCACCGGGAGCAGCATTTTTATTCAGGCGACGCTTAAGGGAGCCCGGCGCGCCCGGTGCATTGTGGGAGCGCCGCGGCCCGTTTTCGGGAGGAGGCGGAGGGCGCAAAGCGAGCCGGTAAGCGGCGGGCCTGGCGAGGGGGGGCGAGACAGCAGGCTTAAAGGGGAATATCGGGCCGCAGGCCCGGCGCGGCCGTTGCAAATCCCCCTCCGGGCCGCCCGGGACGGCCGGGGAGCCGTGCACCGGGGCCCTTCGCGCGCCCTGCCTGGAGAGGGGCCGAGCCCAGGGTTTGGTGGGGCCGCTTTAAAAAAGAAGCGCCGCCCGCGCCGCTGCCTCCTCCGCCGTCGCCGCCGCCGCCGCAGCACGCGGAGTCCGGGGAAGGAGGGAGGAGCG